TGAGTATCTTGATTAATGATCTGAAGATTGCTTATATAAATATATGTTAGTTGTTAATAGAATCATCAATAAATATATTCAAATAATTGGAAAAAAAACTAATAAAATCTTATTAGTGAAATTTTGATATATATATATATAGAGAGAGAGAGAGAGTAAGAGAGAGAGAGAGATTTGATTAAAAATAAAGTTGTAAAATTAAATAAAATGAGTAATAGTAACAACAGGGGTGTGGTTAACTTATGCATTGTTTGTCTGAATGATGATGGAGTTTATTTCTTTTTAAAAAGAGGATGATGCCTCTACCGATTTTTATTAAAATAAATAAATAAGTGTAAGTCTAAATCGCACGGTAACTAATTATATGTACAAAAAATGTGGTAAATAGAAACTTAGTCTATAAATAATATGATAAGATATTAACCGATTATTAATACATATAAATTACTATAAAGAATAATTCATTGTTAAAAGAGGAATGATGTCTACAAATAAAAAAAAACAAATACTCCGTCCGTCTCAAACAAGTGTCCATGTTTCTATTTTAGTTTGTCCCAAAGTAAGTGTTCATTTTCAAAAAGTAGTGTCGACTTTTCAACTCTAGTCTTAATTATGAGATAAAAAATTCATTAATCTTTCAATTATGAATGATAAAATTGTCATTTAGTTAATGACAAATTACATGAAAAAGTAATGTACTTTAACTTGATTCCTATTTTGGATAACATATTTTAAAACTTCCATTTTAGTACCTAAGATGTAAAGTTTTAAACATTTAAGTATTTGGGTAACCGATTGAAACATTAATCGGTTATCATATTGATTTGGCGAGTGATGTGGTATCTGGTTAATGCTTCAGCAAATAATACTGAGTTGATACCACATCAGCATGGTAACTATTTAATGCTTCAACTGGTTACCCGGGTACTTAAATGTTTAAAACATTACATCTTAGATGCCAAAACGGAATTTTTGAAAGTTCGTTACCCAAAATAGGAATCAAGTTAAATGGAAGTTGCTCTTTAATTAATTAAAAAATGTAATGATTACACATTTATAAAACTGCGAATATGTATTTTGGGACTTAAACATTTAATACAAATTTCAAAGTGCAAATTAATAAATAAATGTTTTTTAAATACTAATCAATAAATGTTATTTACTATCATTAATATTCTAATTATTATATTGATGATATATACATATATATATATATATATATATATTACATCGAGAGAGAGGTTGCATTTTCTAAGTTCAAAGCCAATGTAAATTAATAAATATAGATCAATTAATATTATTTATCGTTACTAAATTTTAAATTATTGAGAGAGAAAAGAAAAAGATTGATATAATGCAAAGTAAAAAAGTAGAATAAATTGATTTATATATATGAATATTTGTAATAACTTTTCTAGATTTATATATTAAACAGTTTATATATATATATATATATATATAAGTAAGATCGAGCATTTACAGTGCAAGATCATAAATCCTTAACATAAAACAGTTTAATTAATTCATTAATTAGCTCACTATGTTCACCCCTACTGTATATATTTGGTGCATTACCTTACACTAAAGAAGAAAAACGAGTTGGATGCAACTGGTTTTGCCATTTTGAATCTCAATGTCTACGAGCTCAAACAACAACTGAACGTTTTTAACATCATTAAATACCTCTATTAACCGTTTTTGTCAAATCAGTCATTCCTAGTCATCATGTAGCTGACTGGTTATGGAGACAAAAACTTTCACACATGCGTTAGAAGAGTAGAACATGTTAAATACGCATTACTCGACCTCCAACCCCGATCTTATTTTCTTAATCGACTAACGGGGACCTACTATTCAAATATATTCATTTTACTTTGTCTATACTGGTTTATATACATATACTTGCAGATGAGACTGTTTCGTACATGTTACCTAAGATGAGATGTGGGGCTTGTTTTTCTTTTGTAGCAAAGAGTTTCAAAATACATTTCAGGCAACAGTGTATGAAAAGTTGAACAAATTCTCACATAAGAAAACTGCTCGACTGTTTTATAGACTTTCCGTGAATCTCTGACTCTTTGACCATTTAACTGTGTAATCTGTCGGGCGAAAATTTGACATGGGAGTTCGTAAAAAACCCTGTGGACGTCAGTATTTACCAATATGTGTTTTTTTTAAAAAGGTTTATAAGAGATTAGACAAAAGCTTACTAAAAAAGGAACTTATTCTTAAATAAGCCCAACACAATAAGTATAGCCCAAACCCATTATCATTGGGCTCTCTATTGCACAAACCTCAAGCAACAAAAATTACCATTTTATCCTTAGTTTTTGTTTTTCTCGTTAAGCTTTCGATTAAGTCCATGTTTTATTTCCAAAACCTTGACGATAAAATTGATCAACCAATAATTACAATAACAACGAATCCTTGAAGTTGAAGCGTTTTTGTATTTAAACATCAACAAACCATTTTAGAAGAGGATACAAAAAAAAAATCAGAGATACGTATTGGCAAAAATCATAACAAAAAGACGATAATTCGACAAAATTTGATATTCCTAACGTATTACAGTCTCAAAATGGAAAAACGTACCTGAAAATTCCCATTACTCGGGTAGAAACGTGAGTAGCAACATTGAAGTCATCTAGGCAAGCCCAAAATCAATAAGCCGGGAAATTAAGGCGAACTGACAAACACAGACTCGTTGACATCATTATAAAGACAATAAAGACACAACATATCTTACCTTTGCTTCAAAGTTGAAATCAAGAAGAATGTTAACAACCCATGAATGATGTTGGGATGGCCTACAAGTAGGGGTGCTCATGGGTTGAGTTGATTGGGTTGAAGACATTTGAACAATCCAACCCAATGCTTACGGTTTGAAAAATCTTAACCCAACCCAACCCGAACCAAAGTGCAACCCAACCCAACCCGTACGGATTGGTCGGGTTGATAATTTTGTACATTAAAATATTCTTCCAACCTAGAATATGTTATTTCTCTACTCATAATTTCTTTTTCATCATCAACCATTTGATACAACTTATCCATACTTCGTACGTATATCACATTCAGTTAATTTTTTTAATTTACATATATATGTTCACAGTTACTGAACATATATACGAATGAGTTATATAAATATGTGAATAGATTGAAAATATGTGTATATGAAGAGCATACATGATAGTGTAATTGTCTAATGTACATATTAATAGAAATTCAACAATCATATTAAATCCAAGAAATCAAAGGATATCAGGTTCATCGGATTGGGTTGAGTTCAAATAATAGTAACCCAATATCAACCTAATACCTACGGTTTTACAATTTTACAACTCGATTAGACATCAGGTTGCTTTTGGTTGAGTTATTTCGTGTTGGGTTGGGTTGATCGGGTTGGTCGGGTTTTTAAGCACCCCTACCTACAAGCATAGAAAGATGGTGAAGATTATTGGTCTTGTATTTTTTTCACTATATAACACCATAACTACACCAAAAAGAGAATTCATGGGTTGTTTGGTTGGTTTTCATTAAATTTTGTATGGATAAAATTGATTATGTGGATTAATCTTTTGTATAAATTGAGAGAGTTTTTTCATAAATGGAAGAAACATGTTTTTTAATTGGGATCTACTGTCGAACTTATTCCAAGAAAAGTCTAACCATTACATATAAATCCATAAAAATATAATTAAATTGACTTTTTTATACTCTCGAATCGACATAAAACACTAAAAACAAAATTAGAAATCTAACCTTTTATTTTCGAATCGAAATCAAACAACGCTATAGATGCACTTTTAACTTAAAAAGAATGCATACACACACACACACACAACATCTATATTAAATTATATAATATTTGACACAAACTCTTAAAAACCATTTTTAAGCATTAAATATTGTTTGTTGATGCATATTACTTAAAATTCAAGACTACAAGTAAATTGTACGTAAGTATAACTTATTAAAGATTCATGCTTGAATTCGTGTAACTAACTGCAGATAAACATAATCAAATAAAAGATAAATATCTCATTTTAAATATAAAAAAATCTAAAATATAATTAGGCTAATCATTGAGTTATAACAAACTATTTAATTATTATCTTTATAAAAAATTATATTATTAAACCAAAAATAAAAAGAATAAGTTAGAAAAATACAAAAAAAAGAGAAATTTTAAATTGTTAGTTTAGTATTAATTTCAGTAACTTTTTTTTTTTAAATTTTTTATGATATATCTTTATATTTATATTTTATTAAAAATAAAAATACTTTTGTTTTCTCAAAATCATATAAAACTGTATTATAACATCAACCCAGACAAAAAAATATTAAAATTAAGATGTATCTCACTACATTGTACGATTACCCAACTAATATCTATATTATATTATAAAACATTTGACAAAAACTCTTAAAAACACTTTTTATGCATAAAATACTGTTTATTAATGCATGTTACTTAAAACTCAAGATTACAAGTAGATTATGCGTGAGTACAACTTATTAAAGCTCTATATCTGAATTCGTATAACTAACTGTATATAAACGTAATCAAATACATGATAAACATCTCATTTTAAATATAAAAAATCTAAAATATAATTAGGATAATTATTAAGTTCTAACAGAATACTTAATTATAATCTTTATA